CATATAAAACTGTATATCAGTATATCGTTGAAATCAGGTCAAAACGGACTAACAATTTAACGCACAATATACAGGGTAGGGATAACAAACTATCGATAGGAATATCGATACTATCGATATTTTTTAAATTTTCGATTGGATCGATAGCCCTGTACCAATATCGATAGTTCCAAAAGTAGCCAAATGTAAATGAAGATATCTGTAGATTGAGGAAAATATGAAGAAACCTGTAGCTGTTTTGAGAAATCTGTAATTATTTTTTGATGGGGCAGACATGCTGTGCGGCCAATTCGCGAAAGGTCCCGAAGTAGGCGACATCTATGATCAACTTTGGTACTCAAATCTCAGTGAACAACAAAGCAAATTTGCATTTGGCCCCCGGCATTGTTTCTGGAAGATACTGGAAGTTTTTAATTTTCTACAGAATATTATTCTTTTTATGTATTGTTTCTGTAATATCAATCACAAAAACTCCATAAAACAAAATTTAACAAAAACTAACCTCAAAAAACTGGCTTTGTTATTCACTGAGTTCGGCAGACATATTGCTATTTTTCGCGTAATTTAACGCCATCTATTGGTACAGGAATTTCGCCAATTTTTAATTTTTAGGTTAGGAGGAGTGACATTAGGTCTGTTTCTGCAGAAATCACAAACCAGTCAGAGTGAATTTCATTGGTTGAAACTAGTTTTCTGACTGTTTCTGTTTTCAACCAATGAAATTCGTTCTGACTCGTCTGTGATTTCTGCAGAAACAGACCTTTTGAATTCTATCCATCTGTCAAAACGAATAATTCAATATGGCGTGGCGGTCAGCAAGTTTCTTTTGAATATGTATTTTAGTATTTTCATGCATATTTTAATTATTTTGCTTCGGGTTTTACTTGCAGCTTTGATTTTGATTATTCAATACAATATTTGTTCACTAGGTACGTAAACTATTAAGTCGGGCGGAAACTAGATATTTTTTTGTGATTTTTGGTCCATGTGAGGCCGCAACGCCATCTTGAATGTCTCGTGGTTTGAATTGCCTAATGATTATTTAAGGTTATGATGTTATTGTTGTCATTTGATAAATTTATTTCGTAATTATTCACAAATTTGGTTACTTTGGTCAGAGCAAACTATCGATAGTACGATCGATAGTTACTATCGATAGGTAGGCCATTTTATCGATATCACTATCGATAGTTTTTTTTTCGATAGTTTGTCAACCCTAATACAGGGTTTTCCATTTAAAAAAATATAACTTCACACTGCTGCACTTTTTTGCCGCATCCTGATCCTGTATGCCTAAAACTGACCTAGAACGCTTTCGTGTGCGAAGAATAAGAAACCGTCAAAACCGAACGAAAATAAATAACCTCAGTTTTCTTTAACCCTCCACCATTTCGGACTTTCGGAGCATGAAACACCGAAATAATGGTAGGTGCACGAGGGGGCAGGGAATAACAGAAATGAGTAGCTCAAGTGTACGACACTCCTAAGCACTTGAACGCGCAAAAAAATCGCGGACTACTCCTGAGCTGCTCAGGAGTAACTCAAGTGGGTCACTGGAAAGCACCTCTAGTTGAAAACCTTCAACAATTTCTTGCAACTTTTGTATTTGACACTTTTGTCGAAAATTTCAAATGAAAAAGTTAGAAGTGGGTGACATTTATAATAGATCACCCTGTACATAATCGTTTATAAATTATTATATCGAATGATCGAGCAAATTTATTTGAAAAATCAGTTATTTCTATATAACATCGCTACATTTTTCAACTTTTTCCAAATTTTCACAGGTTGCTTCCCGCATAACTACAGTAATCAGCTTGTTTTAAAATGAACTCTTTGGTTACTTTGCTACTTACTATTCTGAAAAAATAATCGATAATCGAAAGTAATCGATTAATCGAAAATTATAGATTAAGCGAAAATAATCGATTAATCGAAAATAATCGATTAATCGAAAATAATCGATAATCGGAAATAATCGATTATTAATCAATTAATCAATTATCGACTTTTCAAAAATAAAATAATCGACTAATCGATTAATCGATTATTTTGCCCACCCCTAGCCACATGTAAGGACGAAAATAGTTTCTAGCTACTGAAATGTGTGATGATTTACCAATGAGAAATTTGGCATCCTCGCATTTTTGTTGATTTTCTGGTGTGTGACGTCACAAACCAAGTTCGCGTTTTCGCGCCAGTTTAAAAATTTGATTTTTAAATATTTTTTTTTTTCAAAAATAAGTGTTTTTTTTCGGAAACAAAGTATACAGATAGTATTAGAATAACTAAAAGAATAATTTTAAAATGTTTTTGAAAAATGTGAAAGTGGCCCATTAGGCACATCAAATACTTTGTTTTCAATTTTTTTATGATGGATGATTGGATGGATGTGGATTTAAATCCTATATACAGGGTGTCCCACGGTGGATGGCGTATTAGAAGTTTATAGAGAACTAAAAAGCCGATCGTTTTGAAAATTTGGCAACCGGGATAATCGACCATGATCTATACTTTAAAAATATTTTTGACCATGCGGTGTTGCCGCTTCTGCTCTAAACTAGTGGCAACATCGCTATTCTAAATCAAACACCCTGTATGTGATTGCATATTTGGATTCTACGTAAAATTCTGAGCAGATTTCATGTGATGTACCCTATACCTAAGTTCAACTGTTTTGGAAATATTGACAGTTGAAAATTGACTTTTTGCAACTTTGACAGGCTGTAAAACCTGAACGGGTAATTTTAGAGGAAAACCGATTTATTAGATTTTCATAAACTATCATTTGACACCAACTTTGAATTAAATCCATTATTAAAAATTCCAATTAAATTTAATCTCCGGTTAAGTTCAAAGTTGGTGTCAAATGATAGTTTATGAAAATCTAAGATAGGAATGTAAAATCGGTTTTCCTCTAAAATTAACCGTTTAGGTTTTACAGCCTGTCAAAGTTGCAAAAAGTCAATTTTCAACTGTCAATATTTCCAAAATAGTTGAACTTAGGTATAGGGTATATCACATGAAATCTGTTCAGAATTTCACGTAGAATCCAAATATGCAATCATATACAGGGTGTTCTATTTAAAATAGCGATGTTTCCACTGGTTTAGTGTAGAAGCGGCAATACCGCATAAACAAAAATATTTTTAAAGTGTAGATTATGGTCATTTATCCCGGTTGCCAAACTTTCAAAATGATCGGCTTTTCAGTTCTCCATAAACGTCTAATACGCCATCCACCGTGGGACACCCTGTATATTATTCAATATTCGGATTCTACATCAAATTCTGAGCAGATTTCATGTGATATACCCTATACCTAAGTTCAACTGTTTTGGAAATATTGACAGTTGAAAATTGACTTTTTTGTAAATTTGACAGGCTGTAAAACCTAAACGGTTAACTTTTGAGCAAAACCAATTTTAAATTTTTTTCTAAGATTTTCACAAGTTATCATTTGACACCAACTTTGAAATTAATCGAAGATTAAATTAAACCTAGGTATAGGGTATGCCAAATGAAATCTGCTCAGAATTTTACGTAGAATCTGAATATCCAATAGTATACAGGGTATTCCATTTGAAATAAGAAATTTGCAGCACGACCATCTTTTCTGAAACACCCTGTATATGCAAAAGTGAGTTTTTCAAAAAATTTAATTTCAACCATAAAACTTTTATTTGGGACACTTTTTTCTAAAATGTCCAATAAAAAAGATAGAGGGGGGTGACATTTATAACCAATAACCCTGTACCACGCATCTGTTCCCTGCAAATAGGGGGCGACTGAACACCGGAGCGAGTAGCTCGAGTGTTTCAAACTCTTGAAAGGAATACAACTATTCATATTTAAAAGTAGTAAGAGGATGGGCACAAAATGGCGGCAGGAACTCTATTGTCGCCGCTGTATGAAAAGGTTTATTAGTCACTGTATAAGCTGTATTCCTTTCAAGAGCTTAGAACACTGAAGCTCTTCTGGAGCTACTCGCTCCGGTGTTAGTCGACCCCGATTTGAAAGGAACAGATGCGCTTGCTTTCGTGCATTTAAAAATAAATGGTTTGATCCGGGCTTGAGTACTTCAAGTGCAACAAACACTTTTCGAAACGCCCCGGAGTTCTTCCTAGGTGTGAAAGGAATATAACTATTGTTTATCAGTAACAGTAACTAGATAGATATCGGATATCGGGTCTTCAAAAAAAAAAAAAAACAATCAAAGACTGCTAATCATTGATTAGAATTTAAAAAAAAAAAACCGATATCTTCCGCCTACGGACGCTATCCTCGCGTTCGGTATTTTGCTCAAAGAGCAAAGCGTAATGAGCGGAGCCGTAATCAAGTGACCGGTGAGAGAACAGAGCAGTTAAACGCTGTATTCGAGTGCCCGAAATTTTAATAAACGAACGCAAAGGAGCCTGCACCGAGTACAGTTTTTAAATAAACGAACGGTAAATTCAAGCTCGGAAAACTCAGATCAAAGTACCGACGCATGGTTGTTAGGTTGTTGGAAAAGTTTTGACAAGTTATTGACAGGCCTAATTGGCAACGCTGCCGACCGCAGGGACCTCCACACAGAAGACTGCATTAGATGCAGGACAAAGCCGGGAGATGTCGCCACCAGAAAAAATTGCAATCGAAGTCCGCTTTGAATTTCATTGGCGTACGGATATATTGGGCGTGGTAAAAATATTTGAAAAAGCCAAAAATAGATAAAAATGCAATGAATAGAGAGCGAAAGAAAGCAAATTTAATCGTAAACTGACTCCGATGGACACGGACATTTTTTATATATCAACAATGTACCGCTTTTTAGCATGGTTTATTTTTTGTTTGTCAAGTCAATAGAAAAAAAATTAAATTTTGAAGAAGGAAAAAGATAATGAATTTGGGAAAAAAAAAATTCAAATTGTGTTTGGGGCGGGTCAATTTTGTACAGGTTGGTGCGCGCACACGGTTGACAGGTGACGGTGGCGCCACCAATAACACACAAAAAAAAAGACAAGGCCGATCTCGTTTGTCTGACGACATGTTAACTTTAGCTGTATACATTAAATTATAAACGGATTTATTCGCAGGAAAAATGGTTTTGTGACTCGCGCTCAGGTCCTCGGAGTGCGTTAAATAGTTTCTGGTACGCGGAAGACGTGGAAAAAGCGCGATAAATCGACGTCGGGTCTCGATAAAGTCGATTTTGAGACAGGGTGTATCGGGTTGTAGTTTTTACGGGTCCCGTCAGGAGCAAAATCGCTATCAAAACGGATAAAAAATTGACCGAAATCTATTTTTAAATGCGCCTTTCTGTTGTGTTACATTAATATATATCTGTCTCTACGGTCTAGGCTATTTTCGCGATCCCGCAGGGTAAAAATAGCCGCGGTGTCTGCCGACAGTGGCCTGAGGATGTTGCCGCGAGGCCATTTTTCAACTCGAATTTTTGGCTAATTATTTTTCACTTTGTGCGAATTTTCGAACGGTTTTATTTACTTTCTCCAGTGTCCCATAGGATTACCTTTTACATTACCCATCGGACAATCTCAATTTCGTCCCTTTAGGTGTGATTTTCCATCAATTTCAAACCCAATTTCCATCACTAGTGTAAGTACATTTTGATTGTTAATTTTTTATAGCTTAATGTAACTATTTTAGTATCGGGTTAAATAAAATAAACCCGTTCAATTCTTGCCTGTTGGATTCGAGACTTTTTAAATTATTCAGGTATCGAATTTTGCCCAAAACAAGCAAAAATTAATCCAACCTCAACCTTCAGTCATATACAATGTTGCCATATCTTTATAAAAATAATAGTTGTAATTAATATTAATAAACAAAAACTTTTGATTTCTGAACTTCTAAACCTTCTTGACTATAGTTGTTAGTTTTTTGTTAAGATTAGATCTATAAATCATAACTCCAGTATACCCAGAAAATAACACCAATATTGTGAAGAAAAACGGAGCATTTACTCAAAAAAATTTCCTCCTCGAATACTATTTCTATAAAAATAAAAATAGTGCTTTGGAACAATAGGAAAATAATGACTACTAACACTCATCCGAGCACTCATCTAAGAATACCTATTACTTAGATTTCTAACAGATAACATTTAAATTGTTCTCAAAACTAACAAAATTTACATTAATTAGACCAATATAACTTTCTTTGCAATGTCCTTGATAAAATAATGTTCCTTAATTTCCAAGTCAATTTCAATATGCTTTACGCCAAGGTACGCCTTTTGAATGATCCTCGCAATGATCATAACTTCTGTGTGTGCATGAATTTTTATTTATTTATTTGAAATTCTTGATATGATCAGGTAAAGAATTAAACACAGTCAAGCCCTTGTGGAATACCACTTTCTCAGTACTTGCTCTATTCTTTTTTGTTACATAAAAATTGTGTTTGCTTCTTGTTGGGTATGTATGTACAGTTTCATTTGTAACAAGTTTCTCTGATAAGTAGTTGGGAGTTAAACGATTCTTTATTTTATAGACAAGTATTATTTATTTATTTTATTTATTTATTGGTAGTAGCAAAGATACAAATTACAGAAACAATGTTTGGTCCTAAACTAATAAACTCTGTTGTAAATTACAATATAATTTTCCCTTTCCCATAATTTAGACCTACTTAAGCTACTTTAGTGCATGATAGTACTTATAGTACCGTGTGTGCACCCTTATACTTTAAAGAATATCACCAGAGGTTATACAAATAAAAAATTAAAAAATTATATAAAATTATATAAATCACAAATCATATGAAAAAATACCCTAATACAAAAACACAAAATACACTATTGATGGTATTACATAAAGCAAGAATACAATTTTTTAACGAGTTGAATTTGTTCTTGTTATTAATCTAAATTTGATATTCAATGTGAAAGTCACTTTGAAGTATCCATAGTTTTATTTCTTTTTTACACTTGTTATAGGGTTGAGTTCTTATGCTAATTGGTAGACAATTGAATATTTTAGGTCCCAACAATAGATATGGAATTGGCATAAGGTATGCTTGGGGGTTTGTCTGATGACACCTTTTTGGGCAGCATTTCTCGTGTTTATTCCATGATTAATAGCTTCTTTGTAATAAGACACCCTCAACATAAACCTCACTATTGATTTTAAGTGAAGCTGTCGTATATCAAACAAGCCACTTTCACTAAATACTAGTTCTGTTGGATATCTTCTATTTTTAAATAACATGATTTTTATAATGTATTTTTGTGCTACTCGAAGCTTGTTTAAGATTGTCACCCCTGCACCACCCCAAACAACCAAACCATAGTTCAATACTGACTCGACCAGGGCATAGTATACTGTCCTCAGAGTATCCAGAGTAAGGATGTGTCTCAATTCATAAAACTTAAATATCAATTTTCGCACTTTGTTAGTAACATATGTAATATGCTCTTTCCATGTAAGATTTTCATCCAAGTATATTCCTAGGTACTTCAAGTAACCTTTTCTTTCTATCAGTTTTATGCATGAGCATGTTTGGTCCAATATACAGTTGTTTTCATGTAATATCAAATTTTGATAGTTTGGTAAATTGCAAGAGGAAAACGAAAAGGCAACAAATTTGGTTTTCACTACATTTAATGAAAGCAGACTATAATCCATCCATCTCTTAATCCTCTGCAGTGCGAATTCAGCTTTATTCTTTACTCCCTCCCAGCTGTTTCCCCAAATAATTATTCCAGAGTCATCCGCAAAACAATATACTACTCCCTGATCATCATCTAATACTGATAATATTCCATTTATATATACACTTCGCATCAAAATTAACGCACCACTAAAATTTGGCACAATTTCAAATTTAATTTTCTCGGAAACTGCTGAATCGATTTGGACATATTTTTTTTTTAATTGTAGCTTAAATCTTCAGGAATGACTCTGTAAAACAACTTTTCATTTGAATCGAAGTTTTAGGCATATATCAAATCAAATAAGCTTTATTGTCAAAAAAACAAATAATGTCATAGACAAAGCAGGCCTTAAACCTAATAAAACAATTAAAATTATCTATTATCTATCTATCATAAAAAGGATAAAAATTTCAAAAAATGATCCACAACAATCGAAACCAACACAAAGAATTGTAAAAACTGAGGCAAAAACAAACAAAAAATAAAAATAAAACTTAGAAGTAGTCACGGACGTCAACTACCTATCACTCACATAATTATGTCACACAAATTAAATTAAAATGACGGTAAAAAATATATATATATACATTATACGTGCGCTACAGGAATAAAACAATAAGCACAAATTACAAAAGTCAAATCATGAAAATAAAAATAAAAATAATAATAATAATGATATTGGCAGAGCCAATCAATTGATACAGTCAAAATCTATCATTCCAAAACTCAGTACAGTTATAATAAGCCCTCTCAATTAGTAACCTTTTCACCATCCCTTTAAATATTTTGTTGCTTTCCACTTGTCTTATTTCCACAGGTAAGTGATTAAATAATTTCCGACTATTGTATATAATAGAATTTTTAATTTGTGTCGAGGATGGTATTGGCAGTATTATATTATAAGTTTGCCTCGTGTTATACAAACCTGTTGCATGCAAGCTATTTCTATATTTTTTATGAACTAGGCAAACTGTCTCTAAAATAAATAGACTGGGAAGTGTTAAAATTTTATGTCTTATGAACAAAGGTTTACATGAATCTCTCATTTTAGCTCCACTCAAATACCTTATGGCTCTTTTTTGCAGCACAAACACACTATCAAACAACTGCGCAGAACATGTACCCCAAAAACACAGTCCATATCTTAAGTGACTTTCTATGAGTGAGAAATATACATTTCTCACGGTCTGTGAATCAAGCTCTCCAGAGAGAACTCTCATTGCAAAGCAGTTGGAAGCAAGTTTTTTCCTAAGATTTTCTATGTGTGATTGGAATTTAAGTCTGCTATCAATGAGAAGCCCTAGAAATTTATTCTCATTGGTGCTCGACAAGGAAATGTCATCAAGTTTGATAGGTTCAAGTGTGCACCTAAAATGCATGACATTAGTTTTCGATATATTCAGTGTTAACTGATTAGCGTCAAACCACTGCTTGAGAGCAACTATGTCCCTATTTATTTTGTCACTCAAGAAACCCATACTAGTGTCGTGCCATAATATAGTTGCATCATCCGCAAACAATGTAAATTTCCCTGAGATGCCAAGATCAGTTATATCATTAACATAAATTAAAAACAATATTGGACCAAGAACAGACCCTTGAGGCACCCCATACTGTAATGTTCTCTGTCCAGAAACATCACCTCCAAAGCGAACACTTTGAGTCCTATCCTGCAAATAACTCTCAAACCATTTATAAGAGGATCCCCTAAATCCATAGGACTGCAGTTTCCACAGCAATATTCTGTGACTGACACAATCAAAAGCTTTCGTGAGATCACAGAACACCGCTGCGGCAACGTCATTGTCATTCAGTCTCAAGAAAAGTTCCTCGAGGAATGCAAATATTGCATCGGAAGTCCCCCTGGAAGCTCGAAATCCATATTGTTCGGGACTAAGAATCTTTTTTTCATTCAAAAATGAAACGATTCTTTTTTTTACTAGTTTCTCTACAATTTTTGATAGAGTCGGCAACAGGGCTATAGGTCTATAGTTTGAGGGATTTTGCTTATCGCCCGCTTTAAATATTGGGATTATATTGGCCCTTTTTAGACTGTTCGGAAAAAACCCATTTTGGAAAGAATTATTGATAGCATAAACTAATATGTTTAAAACATTGTCAGGTAACTTCCTGAATAATTTGACAGATATATCATCCCACCCCGAAGCATTCTTATTTTTAATTTCATTAAATGTAAACTTAACTTCGTTTACATCCGTAGGCACAAAAAAAAATGATTCGCCTGTTGATGAATATTTGAAAAAATGTTTAAAATCGTGTGCAATGCCAATTTGGCTAGAGAGATTTTTAGCAACAGAACAGTAAAAATTATTAAAATCCTGAGGTGAAAGTGTGGTATCAACATCTGAATTTTCCCGTTTTTTGCCAATTAGCTCATTAACAATTGTCCAGGATTCTTTTTGTCTGTTACTGGATTCTATTATTCGTTTTCTATAGTACTTATCTTTAGCTGCGTTCACCAACCTACGATATATAGCCCTATAATTTTTATAATATGTCATGAAACAAATATTACTGATATAAAACTTACGGATGTAATGCAGTGAACGCATATTTTTTGAAGAAATCCTAATGCCCTCTGTTAACCATGGCTTTTTTTTATTTATTTTCAAGTTTTTTATTGGAAATGCTTTATTGAATATAGAGGATAACTTTTCATGAAAAGTTTCCAGAGGTTTATTGGAACTAAGAACTGCTTGCCAGTTATCACAGGCACACAATTCAGAGAGCTTATCATAATTTCTTGCACTGAATATCCGTCCCTTTCGTTTCAATTCATTACGTCTTCTGGTTCTGATCTTAAATCTACAAAAAATGGCCTCATGATCTGAAAGTCCTGCATTTACAACACTTACACTACTATCATTTCTTTCAAAATTTGTGCATATGTTATCAATAGTAGTGGAAGAGTTAGGGGTTA